GGTCAGGCGGGTGTGCCCTGACACCAACCCGCAGGTTGTACTTCCAAATACTCATCCCATTCCGCTCTCCCTCCTCTGGCTACACAGCCACCTCCATTAGTGAGCCGAACAGTTCAGGTTGGGTTCCCCGGAACCCATTCCTGTAACATGGTGTATAGCAAGTATTTCAGCTGTGTTATTGGATTGTGGGTAGCGTGGGTTTACTCTTTTGCTAGTGTTTCGGGGGTTGTCTGGGCCGTTGAAAGAGGGCTCATGGCTCTCTATGCCGAACTCTCCACGTGGGGCCAAACTCTCCAAAACCTCTACTTTCTCTCTTGACTTCGCTATGCTCGATCCTAAAACTCTGTGGTGGGTTCTCCGGGATTCCGCAAGGTCCGGGCTCAACTAATCTACTACCCACTCATTGTGGGCTAGACAGTTGCCCTTATTCCTACTGTTGGATTCCACACACTCACTCCAACTCTAGCGCGTCCTAGAGAATTTTGGGGGAGGGAAGAACTTTATTTTAAAATCCGGTATGTACAGGATTATATCTAATAATTATTTTTAGAAAGAATAGATGGGAAATATTGGTACCATATGGCACCTGGATAGCTTATTAGGCGAAATAATAAAAAGGGTAACAGTAACAATAAAAGAATATCAATCAATATCTGAAATGATGGCAAAATATGAAAATAAAAGAAAATAAGCGATTTCTCAACAGATTTGTGGAATTAAGACCCGAAATTGGAAATGTAGCCGGAGATAACTCTCACACAGCCGATAAACATTTTTACCAATTTATTAGACGCCGTGGGAACGAGTGAGGCTGGAATTCTGGGTTGCCACCTGAGATTCCCACGCCCCCACATACCCGTGACCTAACTTCTCCAACATGGAACTCCGTCAAATCTCCACCGATTGGGACGTTCTTGATATCGTCGGAATCGTACGAATTAGCACTATTTTTAGATACCAAATCCGTGTCGAGTTGTTGTGTGAATGGAAGGGGTTTTCTGAATGGTGGAAGCGGGTATCCGAGCCGGCTCTGCGTGTGGGCGATTATCCTGCCTACACCGTACCATACACCGAAGCCAGCATTCGCATTTGTGTCGCCATTTTGGGGACAGGATCCATCCGTGAATGCTACCACATTGCCAGGTTGCTGGGATTGGGGGGTTGGGTCCTTTGGGGTTTCCGGGGGGGTTTCCGGGGGGGTTCTGCTGAATGCTGTAGTAGTGGTGGAGCGGGGAACATAGTTGGGGGGATGGGAGGAAATTTTTTGATGTCTTTTGTGTTCCTGATGGCATGTTGACTGGCAGTTTCCTTGGGGGAGCGGTCTGGTAGGGGAAGAAGGTGCAAGTCGCTGTATGGGCTGTAATGGAGGTTGAAGTTAGTGGCAATTTTCGTTGCCATTTGGTAACATCCTTCCGGGTTTTTACAGCCTGCCAGTCTGTAGGTCACGCAGGAGGGGCAGGGGCACTTTCTTTTGGTGGGGTCGTGGGCCGGGTTTTCCTGATGGTTGACTTGGGCGACAAGGTCACCAACGAGGTTGCATCTATGGGATGCTCTTAGGCAGGATGCCATTCTTGAGCGGTCGCTGATTCTGAGGTTGTTTTCAAGGCCCGGGTGGGCCCAAGCTGGTAAGTTAAGCTTAGTGGCAAGGTCAATTGCCGGGTTCTCCAGTCTGAGGTTGTATTTAGCTCCTTTAGGGTGTTTCGGAGTTCAGCTGGGATATTCCTATGATGGGTTCAGGCGTTAAGGAAGGGTTTTTGGGTGAAGATGTTTATGATGAAGGGGTGTGCCAGGTCTCGGGGCAGTTGGTTTTTGGGGAGAACAGCTAGTAGGATGGCTTCGGCAGCATCTGAGGCTGGGGGCCTATTAGGGGACCTATCGAGGATTTTTTGGAGTTTGATGAGGTGAATCGCCTCATTTCTGTCTCGTAAGTTCAGGACGTTTTTACCGCAGTGGGATTTTGGTCTGTTTAGCTGGTCCATGCTCATAGGGGGGGGCTGTCAGAGTTCCAGATAAACTCACGTATTCTTCTGTTTAGGTGTATTTCCAGGTCTTTTGGCATTCCTTGCGCGCATGTATGGAACTGGGTCATTCTGCCGATGGTCATTTGGGTGATCAGGCATCTGCCTTCGAGGGAGGGGTGGGTTTTGTTCCATTGGGTGAGCGACTTTTCAATGTTTGTTGTGATTGAGGGCCAGGGGTCTTTATGACTGGGCTTGTTCCCGCATTGGGCCCCTAGATATCTCATGGTTTGTCCGTCCTTTAGAATGGTTATTGATTCATTTAGGCTGACATCGGAGGAGGGGTTGATAGTTCTCTCGTTGTGTACCCTTTCACGGTATTCCAGTGAGCCGACCGGGAGGACGACAGTTTTTTCTTGGTTGAATTTTGCCCCAGATGCGATGCACCAGCTGTTTAGGGTTGAGAGTAGGATGTTCAGGTCGTCGTCTTTGGCAAGGAAAATGGCGGCGTCATTGGCAAAGAGGGACACTATCACTTTCTGTGAGAGAGTGGGGGTGTTGATCTCTAGGCCTTGGAGTGATGGGGATTCTCTGAGGGTGATCGATAGAGGTTCTATGGCAATGTTGAAGAGGAGGCAGGACAGGGGGTCGCCTTGGCGGACCCCTCTTGTTATTGGGAACTCATGGCTGATCATGCCGTTTAGGATTACTTTTGTATTGGCATCGGTGTAAAGGTTTTTGATTGTCAATATGAGGTTAAGAGGGATTCCCATGGACTCCATGACCCTCCAGAGGTAGTTGTGCTGGATATGGTCATATGCCTTCTCTTGGTCGAGGGCGATAATTGCTCCGTCCTGTCCGGTTAGTTCACATAGGTCGGTCATACGGTTGACAAGATCTATTTGGTCAAAAATACTGCGGCCTTTGATGAAGGCCGCTTGGCATTTGTGGACTAGGAGGGGGGCTATGGGGGATAGTTTGTTCATAATGGCTGTTGTGATAATTTTGTACTCTGCATTTAGCACAGTTATAGGTCTATAGTTCTCGATTTCTCTTTTGTCTTTTTTCTTGTAGAGTGGGCAGAGCCACCCTTCTGAGATATATGGGCAGGAGATGCCGTTCATTTCAATGTCATTGGCTAGGTAGGTTAGGAGTTTTACTATATGTAGTCCGCGGTTCTCATTCCTTCCTTCCTTCCACCTGGCATTTAGGTTTTTGAATAGCTCGGTAGGTATGCCATTGAGGCCAGGGGATTTTCCCGGGGGAGACTGGTTTAGGGCTTTTTCTATGTCCGCGGGGCTTAGTGGGGTGGCCAGGTTCACGAGGTCTTCTGGAGGGATGTGATTCCGGATTTTGTTTATGGAGTTTATAATGTGGGTCTCCCTCTCCTCTTGGTGGGCAGACAGGTCTCTGTACTGGACGGCATTGTAGTGGTTGGCTGCTATGTTTGCCATCTCAGTTGAGTCGGTTGTGTAGGCTGGAGGGCTGGACTCTGGGATTCTCAGTTCGGGTATTGTGTCGCGTGGTTTGTTTTCCTTTCCTCATTTACACCAGTATTTGCTGTTTGTTTCACTTAGGATTCTTTTATTTGCCCCAGTGTGCGCTTTTGATTTAGGTAGTTTTAGTTTCTCTATTTCATTAATTCTTTTTGTTAGGTTTTGGACTTGGACCTGGGTCATCTCAGCAAGGGTCTCATCCACAGATGTTAGTCTCAGCATGGCCTTGTCGCATCTGTGCGTGAGGCGCCTCATTTCGGAGTTGAGTTTGCCAGCTTTTACTTTTGCAGTCTTTCTGGCTAGGTGGGTCACAGCAGATACGAATTCATGGAAGGTGTTTTGTATGTTATTGTTTCTGACCATTTTGTTGAGGGCCTCGTTGCTGATGGCTTCGACTTCTTTTAGGAAGATTTGGTCATTGGTTAAGTATAGAGGGATGGCCCATCGCCCTTTCCTGATTGCGATTGCACGGTCATCCCTTAATTTGACAGAGACAAGTTGACATGTGTAGGCTCTATTTCTTATGGCATCATTTGCATATATTCTGTCTAGTCTGGAGAGGGATGCCCCTGTAGCGTGGCCGAAGGTGAAGTTTCTTTCGGGGGCTGGGTGTGATTCTCTCCATCCATCCGTGAGGCTGTTGAGGGAGGTGAGGTCACGGAGGGCGGTCACTGTGGAATCTGGGTCAGGGTGGGGGGGGGAAGTCTGTCCATGGCTTCTTCTACCATATTGAAGTCCCCGAGCATAATGTCTACAGGGGTGTTGTTAAGTTCCTGGCGGATGTCCTTCCAGAATTGGGAGTTGTCATTCTGGGGGTTGGGGGCATATATGGCTAGGATTTTGGTGGGGATATTTGGTGGCCATTCTACTTCTATGAGGAGTGCGTGGCCCGGGATGATGTCCTTTACCAATCTGGGACTAGTTTTTATTATACTTTTGTTAATGATTATGGCTACTCCGCCCACACGGGTGTGTTCTGAGTTATAGGAGTGGATGATTGACCACTCGGTACTGTAGATGTTGTTTAGGTGGTTTTGCTGTAGCTGGTTGGAGTGTGTTTCTGAGAGGCACATGATACCGAATCTCTCCTGTTTCATTTTTCGTGTGATTGTTGTCCATTTGTACTTGGTCGAGGGGCTGTTGGCACCTTTGATGTTTAGGGCACCTATCTTTAGACTGGGGGGGTGGTTTTGGGGGGTAGGGTCACCACCCCTCAAGTGGAGGACTTTATGTTTCTTTTTATTGGGGGGTGTCCGTTTTCCAGGACTTGGCAGCCATCATTGGGCATTGGCAAAACAGGATAAGCTTCCTGCCCTCCGGGAGCCAAGGGTGCAGAGTCATAAACCAGTTTAGAGTATTCCGTGGGATTGGGCTTTGTGGTTGTGTATATTTCTGTGGCATTTAAGATGGTCCTCTCACGGGTTGCCAGCCCTTGTGGGAGGGTTGGTTGGGTGGATGGGTTGGTGCTGGGCTTTCCTGTTGCCTGTGGGCCCAGTGTATTTGGGCCCAGCACTAGGTCTAGAGTGTTAGTTTCAAAATAGGTCATGAGGCATTAGATTTATAATTTTTTAACTAATTTCTGGCACGGTTCTACAGAGGGTGGGAGGTATTTAGGGTTTTTTGGAATTACCTCGGCCACCTCTGGGTCTGAACATATTCTCTTTCCTGTTGGGAGGGCCTCTGTGTGCGGTGTGTGGTGTTTCGGCATTTTCCGTTTTTTCTGTCTGGGGGTTGAGCTCGTGCCAGGAGGCGTGGTCATGGATAGGGCAAAGCCAGAAGCTGTGGTCTATGCCTTTACATGTATGGCACATGATGTTTCCTTGAATGGCACTACCTTCGCCCATCCAGTCGTGAGGGAAGGTGGTTGTCCTGAAGAGACCGAGCCATAAATCATGGGGGGAAGCAAGGACACCTGGTGCGAGGTCTGGGACTGAGAAGAAGGGGGAGGGGATGTGGATTTCCCATACTTTGATCTGCGAGTTCGAGGTCGGGTTTCTTTTCGCAGAGGGGTTTTCCCAATTAGTACAGGTGGCAGCTTCATATCCCCTGGGGATAGCTACACATTTATCTATGATGGCCTTGATTTCATGTTCGGGGATGTTGTATTTCTTGAAGAAGGTATGGAATTCAGAGTCTGGGTTAGCAATCTGGGCCGTGATAGCTTCTTGGACTTGGTCTGCTTCGTCAAGATTGGCTCCAATGTTATGGATGGTGACCACATAGCTGGTTGGGCTATAGGTCAAGAGGTTGATGGCTATAAAGCCAATGGCACGAGAGAGCCAGAGGTGTTTTGTGACAAGGAGGTGGGCTTGCATCGGGTGGAGACCACCAACAAAGAAGCCCCAGGGGGCACTTTGACCTTCTTTGTTGGCGACAGGGGGAATGACGCATAGGGTCTGGGCTGATTGTGGAAACGCCCTTTTTGTTGGAATTTGTACACGTGGTCTCAGGAACCTTAATGCATAAAATATGGACATTCTGGGAGTCGAACCGCAGAGCCCTGCATAGGTACCTTGAGTGTGTTACCATTACACTAAATGCCTGCATTAGGCGGAGGTGGTTTCTAACACACCCCCTTCACATTGGATTGAACCCGTGATCCACATGTGACCCTAACCACCGGGCTTCCAACAGCCCGTGAGCTGTCACCCCCTGAATTCATATTCAGGCCGGACTTACTGCTAATCTCCTACATGTCCACGTCATGTGGTCTGAAGCAGCCAGATTTGGGTCCTTAGTGCTCTGAGCTACACCCCCTGAAACTTTGTCAGGCCGGCTAATTTAATGCTTGACTTCACGTGCCCATCTCACGTGGCAGCAACCGGATTTGGGTGTGCTCAGTGACTTCCGTAGAATGTCCACCATGTTGGAATTTGTACACGTGGTCTCAGGAACCTTAATGCATAAAATATGGACATTCTGGGAGTCGAACTGCAGAGCCCTGCATAGGTACCTTGAGTGTGTTACCATTACACTAAATGCCCGCATTAGGCAGAGGTGGTTTCTAACACTTTTTAGGAAGGTTGTGAGATCATTACAGATGGAATGGAACTTTCCAGAGTTATAGTGGGCGTCTAGGGGGAGCACTAGGATCGCACCGGGGTCGGATTGCCATTTCTGGAGGTGGTCCTCACGGATGTTGCTTAGAATTCTTGCTGGTCAGACACCGTGGGCTCTGAAGTTTTCGAGTTCTCCCTCAAGGTCTATGTAGTTATAAGATTCTAGGCCATCTTTTGGATGAAGGGGGGAGTTTAGGGGTAGGCTTTGGACGTCGGCAATGGCTGGGGCTTGTCAGGGACGCATCCGGGGTCGAGAGGGCCCAGGGGTAATGTCCGGCACTGAGGCCGTCGCAGGGTGTGGAGCGGGCGTGCGTACTGGCGGGCCCGATCCGGGACAGTGGTCCCTGGCCACTCAGGCTGAAGTGGAGAATGTGAGAAGAAGGTTACTTCTTCGGTTCCCACTTCAGGTACATTTATGTACATGCGGCTTGAGTCACATGACGGGTGCCATGTCATCCTCGGAGGCAGCCGCAGGCATCTGGGTGTCCCCATTGGGGATCCCGAGAGTGTCCGCTGCATGCACGCGTGCTGGGCACAGCAGGAAGCCGTCTGGGGTGTGTGGGCCGGACGGGTCAATAGTACATCGATACAAAGGAAGGTGGTTCGTGTAGATAGAAAGAAATAAACAGGAAGAGGAAGATGAGAAGAATGAAATAAAGAAAGGGGAAGGAAGAGGGAAAAGAAAGGGGAGGAGAGGGAGGAAGGAGGGGGGAGGGGGATAGACAGCGGGGAGTGGGTGTGGTGTGGCCGGGTGGGTCCGGGTGGACCCGGGTCAGGCGGGTGTGCCCTGACAGGGCTCTGGTTGGACGCTCCGGGGTGGTAGGGGTTACAGCCACGTCATTTTCCTCTTCAAGGTTGGGCCTGAAGGTTGACAGAATGGGCCAGGGAGCAAATCTGGGGGGGCCAGTGGGGGGGCAGCCTTTTCCAACCTTTGGCCCGGCTTGCAGGCACAGGGGTTCGAGGTCTGCCACATGGGAGTCAAAGAGCAGGGAGCTCGGGGTGGGTTTCCTCCACTGAGGGAGGGGGGGGCTGGGTTGGGCCCTCAAGGTCAGCAGAGCCGGGCGATCTGAGGCGTTTTAAATTTTCGAGGTTGCTGTTGGATAGGGCTTCCGGCCTCGGGGGTGTTTCTGGCATGGTAACAGTGCACTCGGCAATGTGGGGGGTGTGGGCCTTATTAGCAGAGGTGTTGGTCAGCAAGTTTTCGACCATGGTGTTGTCCTCCCCGTGGGTGGTCAGTAGATGGGGGCTTTCAGGGTCTGGGGGTTGACGGTCAGTTTGTTTGTTTGTGTGGGTTCGGACATAGGAGGCGGCCTTAGGCCTGGGGACATTTAGCCACCAGGGGTGCAGCCGGTTTCTTGGTTGGGAAGGGGTTAGGGAGTTACTTACCAGAGGGGTAAGTCTCCATGTTATTGGGACAAGGAAACTTCGAGGGAGTTTCTCGTGGTTCAACTGACCTAACTCTGTTTCAGAGTTACCCAGGTGCCAAGGGACATAACTCCAAGAAGGTATGTTCCATTCAGACGCACCCGCCCTCCAGCACCTATTCGGCTCAGCCGTCTTCTGGTGACACCCTGGGGGGCCCAATGACGCGGCCAGGTGCTCGCCGTTGTCTGAGACATTGTTGGCACCATTCCAGGCTTATTTACATTTCTTAGAATTTCATTCTTATGTGTATTTTGTGTGTGTTGTTTAGTTCCGTGCTCACCCGGCCGTAGTTTAATGACTTTGCGGTCGGCCACCTACATTTTGCCCCAGTTGGAGGAGCGAAGTGTTGCAGGCCAAGTTTCGGAGTAGGTGATCGGATATTTGTTTAACTCCGTACCATGTGATCTTTTGTATTGAGTACAGAACGTGACTAGCATCGGAAGCAGTCGAGTACCAGTGTGAGAACGTTTATTTACATTGCGTAAAAAAGCTATTATTTTGCGCGTCCACGGAGCTCCTCCGACTGGGTACGAGTCTGCTCCGTAAGCGCACACAGTCGAGACACGTTGAAAGAGGGAGGTAGTGAGTAGCGTTTAACATAGTCAAGCGCAGTTTGAGTGGCCGTACACAGCGTGGGAACAAATCCAAACCTCGATTCCAGGCAGGTAACCAGCCTCTTTGAGCTTGTTCACCCATCGACTACCGAAAGAATGGTGTCCTTCCTACAGCATAGTGATCGCACCTCTTTTACATAGACTCGCATCGCCGAACTTCCCTCCATGTCTTTGCAAACCCTCCATCTGGACGTGCTGGTAGAAATATTAACCTATCTCGAAGTCTGCGATATTCTTGCACTGCAGCGTGTGAGCCTCAGATTAACATCCACATGTATGTATCAATTCCAACTACCGGATAAACAGACCCGCAAGGATATTAGAGATGTTACCCGACTTCATGCAGTGTGGAAGAATGTCTTGGAAAAGCAGATAATCCCCTCTGGCGAATCACTTTCATTGCCGTCTGGCGTTCTTCTATCCGATCTCTCTGTAGGTGAACTCAAACAAGCCGCAATATATGCAGCACGCCTCCAACGCAACTGGGCATCTGAAGTTCCAAGAGTGTTTACCTATACTGAATTCCCCGTAGCAGTACCCTCTGCTTACGTCCAGATTGCTTTCCTCTTACCTGGTCAGGGCGGGAAGTACTTATTGACCATTAGCGGTGGCAATGTTGTGTCGATATGGCATCTGGAACCGAATCTAAGAAGATCACGGAGGATTCTAATCTGGGGGACATCAGGGGCAATTGTCAAAGCGGTTCCTAACAGTGACAGTGGAGACCGTGCGACGATAGCTCTATCCCACGTTGCGGACCAGTATGTCCTCGTATCAATCATTCCAGCCCAGCCATAAATATACACTGAATGTCTCCAGGCGTGAACATACGACTCTGTACAATCTAACCTTTGCTGAGAATGACAGAGGGAAAACTACAGTGCATTACGAAAAAATATTCGAAGAGGAACTGCCTGGTCGATTGAAGATTCTCCGCGGGAACCTGATCGGGTTGTACAGGGGATCGAACTTCAGGGGATATTTGTTTAATTATCGACGCCAGGTAATGATAGAACTGAAGGGTGCTCAGCCAATAACCCGGTTTGTGAGTGGGACGTCTTGCCACTCTACGTGTTTTAAACTTATACGTTCTTTCGTGACAGCGCGGCGCACTTGGATTCCCGGCCATGGAAGTTCTCAGTGACTGTGTGATAATAATTCAACCTTTCAGCGTCGATATCTTCGCACTTCCTGATATCGCATGGAATACGGAGCCTCAACTTCCGGAAACAGATAGTGTGTTCCAAGCACAACTGATCTCTTCGGCCTTCCTCCCCGAAATGGTGGATTGGCAATCTGGGATCATCATTCCATACTGTGCTCCATATCCCGCACAACGCACAAGTCCTCCCTCTCAACCTATCTCCATTCTTGTCCGCGAAAAGAGGGGAAAGCTCCATATCATGAACCATTTTTACGTTTACAACCCACCGAAGTATGACCCCAAATCGCTACGCCTGCACGCTCACCTCTCAATCACTGCTGCGAGCCCTGGGTCATTTATCGAAACCCCCCTTTTCGTGGCCCAACATCGTGCTGGCGTGCATCCGCATTTCTTCTATGACATCGTGGCATCTCCAAGAAGCGGGAGAGGGCTCTGGTTAGAGAATACCACCTCGCCCGTAATGAGTCGATCATTGGAACGACTTATCCTCTTCAATGTGGGTGAAAATGTTGTGGACGACTTTCCCTTAAGCGATATTGGACTATTCGATAATAGCGAGTCCACTTGTAGAGGCGCAAAGGCTGGGGGCAGCAATGTGCCAGATGGCGTGAGGAATTGTTCGTATTGCTCATTTGATGACGGGACTGGGAGGGTGGTTGTAGCAACTCACGATGGACGCATTCGCGTTCTGCAATTTGGCATTGCATGAATCGATACTGCGAGCGTGGTAATAGCCCATATTATAAATTCTTTCATTTTTTCACTACGAAAAAGGGGCATGATTCTCCTCAGTTTTCAGGATTTCCCAGGTTGGCCCTCGTGCGCGGATCGTTTGGTGGTCTATCTCCGTGCCGAGACGTCGAGACCACGAAATGGGAATAAGCCATCCCCAATTGAGAGCTGCACCTTGCTTGGACACCAGTGAGCTATCGCACCGTTCATGGGCGGACTATCTCGCGTGCGCTTCTACGGGGAACCTCAATCGAGGCAGGATACTAGGCAAGTGACCACCCTCTCTTTAGCGGGAAGAGAGCAGGATACCAGCATCTATTAAAATATAGCGTTGCCCGAGCTTGGATCCTTAAGTACTGAGGAACCACACGACTGCATCGCCATGTATGCGTTGGATCACGCCTAGCGTCTCAGAAAGAATAAGGTATTGCATCCAGCAGTTGCCCACAAACCAACAGATGTTGTCGATTCAGATGATCGCGCGAGCCATCCAGTCAAGTTTCGGTACCGAAGTGTGTGCATGTGTATATCCCGTCGTGCCGATTAAAATCTTCAGCCATATTGAAGTCCGCGATGCAACGCGTGGGCCTCAAATCGCCAACATTTACTTGCTCGCCGCCAAACCGACTTGCAGACAGACTTGCAAGGATATCAGGGGAACTTAGAAAAGCAGATAATCCCCTCCGGCCAATCGCTCCACTGCCCTCTGGGGTTCCTCTATCGGATCCATTTGTAGGCCAACTGCAACAAATGCAGCGCGTCTCGAATGCAATTCCAAGGGTTTTTGGTTCTCCGTAGGAGTGCCCTATACTTGCGGGTCGATTGCTTTCCTCCTACCTGGTCGAGGTGGAAAGTATCCATTGACTTATAGTGTTGGCAATTAATTCCTTCTGGTCAACTTCTTTCGTTGTCGTCTAGTGTCTTCCATTGACACACAACATTTCCCTGTTTGCCAAACTCTCTTTATCCCTGGTCATGGCGGAAAGTATCTGTGGGGCGACCAATCGATTTGGTATCTGGAACATTCTGGGGGGGAAGCTCTAGCAGCGGTTCCTGATAGTACTATTTATCACGCAACAGCTCTATCGTACAGTATAGGAGACTTGTGCATCCGTCTCCTTTTTCCAATCATGAGTGCTGAAAGATTCACCCTGGTAAGACATGCACTTCCCTATACAAGTTAGCATCAGCAATGACAGCGGACGTTGCGCTGCAGCCATTGGGAGCGCATCTTCCGGTGTGAAGTCCCTGGTGAATGAACATGACCACAGGGTTCGGCCCATCTCGTGAACAATCCCCCTGGGGAGGATGTCCGCTGAACTACCAGAGCCAAGTGGTGATCAAACTCCAGGGTACAGAGCTAGCCGATTCCAAACCCTTTCTACTATGTTAGTTGGAAGCCATCATACCAGTCATTGCCTCCCATCTACGGACTCATGCACCAGTATTCTTTTTTTTTCCAACAGGACGGTACAGAATGGAAGACGGAAATCTTCAGCGACTGCATTGCGGCGGTCTGGCCTTATTGTGTTGATATTTTCGCAATGCCTGAGCTCGCGTGGTACACTGGACCTCGACCGGAACAAATGCAACCTGTTGTAGGCCAAATAACAACAACACGCCACTCATCGATTATGGTCTGACCTCCAGTGGTTTTACTGAGATCCTCAACACAGCCCATATTCGTACCATTCTGTATAGAGACCACTTCTATTCTTGGGCCACAGCTTCTCCGATGAGCGGAAATAGGTCATGCACAGGGTTGTCGCTGAGCGACACGTTGAAAGACCTGAATCTATTACCGGCCATGGCCTCAGACTTTGACATGCGATGATAAGACTAGTGGGAGGGTGCGTTGCTGTCAATCATAACGTTCGAATCCTGCAATTTGGGACTGCTTGATTCGGAAATCCCGAATAGATGTCCAGCCTTCGAACTTGAACTTGTGTTTTTCGGACTGGAGTTTGCGCTAGGCCCTGTACACTGAGTTCCACGTGTCAACGCCGGGAGGAAACTAGAGTAGGTACGATGCATATATATTTGTGTAGTGCGCGCATATCGGCTGCCATTGAAGCATTGCGATCTTTCATTTAGCCATTTTGATTTTTTTCTTGGCAGCATGCGAAGAAATGATGATATGCACAGTATATATTGGGGACGTACTCGTGTTTATGACAAACCTCTACGAAGCAAAGGAAGAGATACAGCATGATGGTGATAAGACGCAAATCGATACAGTTTTGCGTTGGTAAGGTGCATTCTAGTAGACAAGAAAAAAAAAGGAAGATTCGAAAGCACTGCCTTTCCAATCACAACCTTAACGAATCCATCTGGGTCCTCAAAGACCCAAATGCCTCCACGCCCCTGCGTCTCTGTTCCTCGTACTCATCGAGATTCCATAACCCCTCCACTTCGTACTTCTTCCACCCGCCCCGGAGTATACTCCTCAATCCCCCGACACCCTTAGGCAACCCTGCTTCACTACCACCCCCATTTCCACTACCATGAGTGTTAGTATTCCGAATTTCCTGAACGCGTTCCCAACGACCTTTACGTCTATCTCCGAATCCACTTGCGACGAGCGCGACGCGTGGGGGAATGGTGATTCGCCCCTGTTTGAAACAGTATGATGAAACGTGGACACAGTGGAGGACTGCACCTTCTGGTAAAGGGGGCATGGCCGTCGTTTTCTTTGGAGTCGTTGCTGGTGTTGAGCCTGAGGTCGGCTCGGGGGGTTGATGTGAAGCAATGACAGTGGCAGTGGTGGTTGGATGGGAGGGAGGGAGGGATGAATACGTTTTTCTGGGCGATGAGTTAGGTGGGGAATCGGATAGTATGGAAGGAGGTGGAGTAGTAGCGGGCGAAGATGAAGGTGAGTTAGCGCCATCTGAGTCTAACACAGCATGAGTAGACTTGTAGGAGGAAGAAGTGGAAGAGTCAAAAGATGACGAGGAGGATGACGAGGAAGAGGTTGCATGACGAGGACGTAGACGTGGACGTGGGGATCTTGAACGGCCACGGCGAGTAGATTCCCAAATTACGCCATCCGTTTCGACGAGAGGAGTCCTAGTGATAGCAGCTGCAGGGGTGGAGAATTCATCTGTAGACGAAGATGATCGTGAGAACTGCTCAGAGGGGATGACGGGGCGGTCGTCCTCCGAATCCGGGTCTATCTGAACATCTCGCTCAACGTGCTTCGTACGTTCGACAGTAAAAGCACCAATGCGCGTCCCCTCCACAGGGCCTTTCCCATTGGGGTAAGTCACAAATTGAACGACGAGATTAAGCCATTTATCCTCCCATGAAGCGATATTAATTCGGATTTCGTATTGTGTCCAGAGAGGAATTTCACGAATAAAGTGAAAGTGGGATGTCCCCAATCCTAGCCACCCCTTGGCTTCAAGGATACTTGGGAAGCAAATAACCGCAGCTCTCATTCGTGCGTAGTCCAAGTTCTAGCGGAGCCCTTAATTACGACACATTCCCTGTCCGTGGCGATTCTCATGCTCACCTTAGCGTACGCAGAGTTGCTTAGATGGCCGTTATAGTCACAATCCGAGAGCCCCACGGTAGTTGCATAGGTAACCGTGAGCTCAAAGGGATCCTCTCCTATGGGAGAAAGATGCTCCACGAATCGTCTACGCTTATCGTGATTGAACCATTTGAACAATCCTTGCAATCGGACCTGAATGACAGAGCCGAAAGTCCTCACTTTTCCGGGCCGTTAGACAAGAGGGATTACGAGTGGACGGGGATATCGTGAAAGTGTGTACTCACGATGCCAGACGAAGGGAAGAGCCCGATAGTTAACGAGCAGAATCACAAGCAATAGGTATCGGAGCGAGCGAGGAAGGAAAGGAAGAATCGACCGTGACTGATCGGCGCCTCCCAAACGGAGGAACGTCAGAATGGGACTAACGCGAGTCAAGGCGGCTTCGCTCGTCATCGGTGCCACAGACTTAGCGATAGAGCAGCGTCCTGAGCACTGAAGGGGAAGGAGAATAGGCCTAAGAGAACGTTTATAAAGCGCGGGATATTAAAATCGCATTCCGGGACAATGAATTATAAAAAGCGGAGGGCCACTCATGCAAAACCGTTGGGGTTGCACTGCTCACATGAGTATTCCATATCTCATGAGTGGAAACAGTTTGCGATGGCTCCTTGTTCATTAACAGACCACGCAATCATCGGAATATGAGATCCGAGCATCGGCTGATGGTATTCAAGTTGCAGACATCGCGCACTGCGTGACTTCAGCCCGCCCCAAAAGTTGTACGTGGAAGCAGGACCGTGGGAAAATCGAGTTCAACCCGTCAGGGCGGATCTTTCCACTTGACTGCCATCTCTCCTGAAGCTCATCATTCCCCTGGCCGCAGGCTCACCCGTAACCAGTGGTGTACAATATGATCGCTGATAGACAATATATGTGTCAGTGACCTTGTAGTCAAAAACCGGGACCCTCGTTGGGAATCTGGCATACGGTTGCGTCAATGGAGAAGGAGCAAAGGGATTCTGACTGAATAGTGCTTCAACACAAGGACAACAAGCCTGTGCTTGTATTCGAGAACTTCATGCTCAGCTGGCAAGATCAGTCAATATATTGAAATCCTCGATATCTGTTGGGGACGACGAGTCTGGACTCAAACCTTCATCCGTATGCTTCCGAATACGAAGATATTTCCAGCCTAGTTTGTTCAGTTGTCACAAGGTTTGACAATAATTTGTATGGAGACATGAGGAAATGTCTATGGCATCATGGGGATTGGCAATTAGGGGGATAGTATATACTGAGGAAAAAGATGAGAAGTGACCGCTACAACTTGAGATCCGGACCCATCCCGATAGCAAATGAAAATAAGGACAGCAGAACCAAGCAGCGATACAGATTCAGTTGGGAGCCTCTAAGCCTTCCATTACCTCCTTCAGTAGTTTCATCTGAGCACCCCTCTTCAACCCTTCCGCCTCAAATTCCTCAAAGGACCAAAAGTCCCCTTCACTGGTGTCTTTCCAACCTCCACTTAGTAACTGGCTCAATTTACCCTTCCCTTCTTTCCCCTCCCTAACGCGTTGGAGCCGTTCCCATCGCCTAGTATCACCGAAACCGGATACGATGTATGCTACTCGCGGGGGAACAGTGATACGTCCGAATTTGAAGCAGTATTGAGATACCCCCGTCGCGTGAAGAATAGCACCTTCTGGGACAGGAGGTGTCTCAATGAAAATCCTGGTGCCAGATGGTGTGGATGCTCCTCCATTGGATGACCCTGGAGCAGGCGAAACGAGTCCAGATGGAACAGCTGACGAGCTTGCTGTGCCAGCACTGGTGGTGTCCGGGTGAATGATCACCACGGATTCCCCAACATCGGATGGCGGTGGCGCCGGGGTGACACCCTTCAAGAGCTCGGTCGCGGCTTGCTCAGCATTACTAGATGTGGCGTCGATAGCCTTCGAACTGGACGCTGATCTAGACTCAGCATTTTTTCCATCCTTTTTCTTCGGGTACGTAAGATATTGGGCATAGAGATAGAGCCATTTAGATGTATCCCATCCACCAAAGTAGAGACGAATCTCGTACTGGGCGAACATGGGAATTTCCTTGAGGAAATGGATGTAGCTCCCGCCTAGCGCAAGCCTTCCTCCAGCAGAGTGGAAACCGGGAAAGCTATGAATGGCTGCATTCATGCGCACGAAATCCATATTCTGGTGGGGAAGGGAGTCGATTTAGCTGTACTTGCCAAAGATAGGCGGAACTGATCACGAACCCACCTTAGCATATGAAGAGTTGCTCAAATGGAGATTGTAATCACAATCCGCGATACCTACACCGACCGGAAATGAAGCACGAATCATGAGGCTAATCATCATCGGTAATAACCATACCTGCTCGTAACCTCAGCACTTCGACGACATCTAAGGGACTCTTCCCGAGGCCGAATTCCTTCGTCACCTTCGTCAAATGTTTATTAAGTCCAGCGATTCCACTCCGTTTCCGAATAAGCCAATCTATCCAAATCATGCGGAACCATGGGTATAAAATACGAACTTTGATGGTGCTAAGCAAAGCAGATTGACGGAAAAGAAAGGCCGACGGACTCACTGTGCCACGCGATTGGGAATACTCGAAGGTTCAATGCGACTAGAAAGACAGCGAACCATTTCAAAGGCTTTGGTATATACCGGGAAACGGTAAATGTCGTTCCGGTAATTACCCCCGCCCGGACGACGCTCTCCAGGAGCATAAGCTGGTTTGCTCTCCCCATAGTTGCTTATCACAGTAAGTAATTGCGGAATTCCGATCATGCAGTTTTTCCAGGTTTCCGGGAGAGATTGGACGGAGGAACGAAACAAAGGAATGATGAGCAGGCCGTGACGGATAGATGAGCATCAAAACTGTCAGAACGAGGAGTAATGCTGCTTGGATAAAAAAGACTCACAAGCTGAAAGATGCGAATCTCAACGAAAGACTCTAATGTGTGTATCCTGATCTATGTGTGAAGGATTTAGACGCTTCGGGGTGCTGTGTTGCGTTGGGGATTTGAGCGTGAGAACCAACTTTGGATGCAATTCAAATTTTTGTGTGGGCCGAAGAACCAGGCTTGTGGGGCATCTTCATGGCATGTGTCTTCGCGGGAACGGGGCTCCTCCTGCGTTGTGTTTAAGAGGTGTGACGGAATACATTACTACATATACTATTGGGGAGGAAGTATACTACATAACAGGTGCAGCGACCCGCATCTAAAAGGCGCTTCTAACGTACTTTTATCCTTCCATTCACCCCTCAAGAGTCGAGTTAACCCTTCTCAGTTGTTGGGGAATTCTGCAGCCGTTCCTGGCTGTCTGGAACCCCGAGACAACGAAGCTGAGATACTTCTGCCATGTTTGATGCAGCATTGAGGAGCTTCAATAAATATACGTGAGTTGTCAGGAGGCAAATTCCCTTCGCGGGTTGAGGAGTGTCCACAAAGACTCCGCAGATAGGTCCACAGTGTACGGCACCACGATATCTCTCATCGAGTCCTTCGTCACATTCTTGGCCATTCATAGTCTCCCATCACCCAATGAATACCGACCTCGTGCTCCACAAACATGGGAACTAGCTCGATGCCATATTGGAGAAACGTTCCTCCTAAGGCAAATTCCTTCATCGATAAACACGACGGTGTCCATGCTCGTAATTTAGGTTCTAATATAATTGAAGTGCCAACCAATAAGCTTGCCGCAGGACCCAACGACAAGCGAGATGTGCGGGTAATACGACTGTCGCTTATCGCACGAATATTGTCCAAGGTATGTATATGGTTTATGTGGTCAATCCGCTCAGATGAGGTCGATTCGCATAACAATCGTGAATTGATGCCATTATCCACTTCGCAAAGCGAGTGTGAGATGGTGGCAACGATCAATATGTAGTACAGCCCATGGAGGCTATAGGTGCTTGGCCCTCTCCTTTTGTCTGCAATTTGCGGAAGCCGGGGAAAGGGAATATTGGTCCAAGTTGGCATCAAGAAGTGCTGATGCAACTAGCAATGTCACATTTTATCCAACAGTTTCTGCACTATACTTTGTTCCGCCGCATCTCGGGGAACTGCATATTTGATCGATACGGCGATAACACAAAGCTCATAGGTATGGACGTCACGAAAACTCCTGGAACTTTGCCGGGAACTGTGTCAGGCAGCTTAGGAGGGAGGGTGAAAATGGAATTTTTCAGATATCAAATTTCCTGCACCTTTCGCTTGAAAAGTTACTCTAAAAACCCGGACAATGCTTCAAGGGTTGGGTCATCATCGAAGGAGAGCCGCCACACAGCTAGTAGCGGGCCGGTGCATTGTGTGTCCCAGGAAATATTAACGTCCTCTGGGTTCCCCGGAAGCCAGAAGATCAGGAATACTTATGGTGTCCAAAGTCCGACCCCAAACCCAGAAGTCTGTCAGGCATTGGGTCTAATTTAGCGGAGAGAAAGTCGGGTGATTACGGTTCTGAGCGGAAATCAAGGGTCCTGCTCGCAGTGGCTATTAACGTTGTCCACTTCGTTCTGCTGTAGTATGCCGACTAACAAGCAGGCCATTTCATCTCTGGACTAGCGCCTACCAGCATGCGACCTGGAAAGGGATCTAGATCAAATCCAAGGCCGAAAGCCCATTAGGATAGTGGGACACATGATACCGGGTACAGAGAGAATATGGTCAGATGCTCAAATCACTTTGAAGAATACCCGAACGAATATTCACGCCGGAAAACAAACCAGGCCAACACGGAAAGAAGAATGGGTCGAAGACCACAGCACAAGGGCTCGTAGCACAATATGGGGACGAACCACTTCACAAGGTAAGCCCATCTACAATGAATCCCCCTCCTACATCATAGGATTCCAGAGGGGGCGAAGACGGAAGTGTACAAACACGCGCAGCCTGACGTACAGCCCCAATATAATCAACCAAATCCCTGCTTTTTATTTAGCTCGAGGTGCCAATTCGCACGCGCGAGAGGTTTCAGCCGCTGCCGGGCACATCCGCATGACGCATCCTGGCTACCCACACGACGCAGCGGTACAGAAGGAAAACACATCAAAAGTATACGTGATGGCCACTGTCCTAGGACACGGGAGTGCTGAGACCGTCGCAAACAACCTTTAAAAGAAGAGATGCCGATCCCTAGACTTCATGTGGACAAGACACATGATTTTGTAAGGAGGCGAGAATAACGGAGTTGGCCGGCGCGAATCAAACGCGGACAGCCACTCACAAGCGTGGAAATCATGGGCAGGTGACCAGCCTCTCTTCCACAAGAAACCAGAGAGGTCTGCGAAGTATCGTGTCGCCCCCGGCCTTTTTTTTTGAATTTGTTCTATCTGCTGTTGGTCGGTGGACTTCGTCAGGGCAATGGTCCGAAGCAGAGATTCAGGCACTACTTCATTTATTAAGGCGATTTGGAAGATACAGAATGATTACATAGTATGCGGCGAGTATCAATGTCAGTGCCAGTGCAATGTCGATGTGCTCAGAAATGTGACAAAAGTACTTGGGGTAACCAGGGTGCAAAATGCTTTAGGGAATCACAAAGAGAAATCTCATTGAAGGGCGTGGATGTCCGTCATGGGAAGGTTAGAATGTAGGGCTGCAAGCCGGACATCATCAACGCAGTGACCTAACAAATAGAATTGATGATGAGGACTGACCACCATTGTCGATTTCCAGCGGCACAAGGGGTATTCGTCTCCACCACAAGCTTCCAACAGCGCTGCTCCTTTGGCATAAGTTTTGGTCAGATGCGCAAGTCGGACCTTGACATGCCCTGCTGATAGAGTCTTCTGGCTTCTTCGAATGCGTAATTTATGTCGTCTGTGAACCTGCTCAGCCTTTTCCATGACGCTGCTTTCAAACTTTTCGTAAGAAGGGCCAGAAGTCGAGAACGCAAAATGCTTCAACCCCAACGCAGTGGAGTTGTAGGCAATCGAGGCAAGGATTGAATAGAAGTGGACGAGCGATCCAGGAGTCCCACAGACAACGGGACTCGACCCAGAACAATATCAGCCCCACAAGTTAGGAATAGAGTTTTCATCAAGAGCTCACCAGTCTGGATTTGGGCAACCGCTGGGTTCGACACCACCATTCTTATCCCGGCATTCTATGTAACATCAAATGAACGTGAGCAACGGATAGCACTTTTGGGGTCTTCGTATATGTACTTCCATGAAAGTAACTCGGAAAGATGTCTTGACTGGTTCGATTGTATGCACCGATCGCAAAGTTCGCGTACAGAGGTGCCACAAGACGCGCCGCATCAATTTGAGCTGCTCCCAAGAAAAATTGATTATTTAAATCCCGACTCTATCGGGATTACGACGCGCGTTGACACGCGTGCTTAGGTGATTCATTGTCGTGCTTCACTCACGAAAGCTGCCAGAACCTCTGCGACAGGATGTGTATAATTTGAGACAAAAGCCTACAAAGAAATTTCCCTTCAGCAAGCTGCCAAGCAATGGGATACAGTCAAGATCGAAGGCTGGCCTGAGTGATCCCAATGATGCATTCGCCTTCGCAAGCTTGCACAACATCCAGGAAAGCCACCTGGGCTCCTATTAAAGCTGCAATTCCAACTCTGAACATGTCCAACGGGTGGATAGGGCCAGTCGTAGAGATACTAATTGTTCCCGATGATCGTACGTAGTATCGAGGTCGAGCAGGGGTGAAGCGAATTCCCCAAATCACGTGAGTGAGGTTCTGCGACGGGGGTCATGCAACTTGTTGGACGAACAGGCCATGACGACGCGCCGGTACGCATATAAGTAATGTTCATATCAGTTATTGATATTATTCTATTTGTCCACGCATATGCCACGTTTCACTGCTGCGCTTCCGCTACTACGCCCCACATGTACAGATCCGTGATGGATGGATGGAGCCATTTCCACTCATGTAGCTTTGAGACACCGTGTATGGCTCAGATATCTTTCTTGTTTCATCGCGCATGTTTTAGACCACCTTCATATATTGGGATAGAAGACCTAATACCAGCCAGCTTTCTCGCGAAAGATATTCATTCATAGGTCCAGATATTTGATATTGTTATCCATTCAGTTTCATGTGCATGACAATATACTAATATTATTATGTAATGGTGGTCGTTTCGCTTGCGATCATTACGACCAAGGTCAGCCATTTCTCATGAATATCATCCATATCTACGAAAATATCTCGCCCATAAGCACCTTAGATACGCAAAGATTGTTGCTGTTTTTTATTTCTCCTTAGACACTGTAATATAATTTGAGGGATGCGCTCCCCTTCTCTTCCAACCCTCTAAGTGCACACGCTCAAGGCTGAGGTAAGTACTCCCTGATTCATGTTACGTACCTACTGACGCCACGCACATTACATGCCAGTATAATAGCACCAAATTCACAATGCGATTCTGGAATGCTCTTGTCCCAATCGCTCTTGTTCCCGTTGTCACAGCTGATATTCATTTTGGCCCTGCCGGGTGCTGGGACAAAGACGGACACCAAAGTGGTCCAACGTATCTGATTTTCCTCCCCGAAAAGGACGGTGAGCCGAAGTCCAAAACGGATTTTGCTCCTGCTTAACCAATATTTGCCCAACAGCCTCATGTTGGGCTGCAACGAACCCGAGGTCCTTGTACCCCTGGCTTCAGTACAGCCAAGCCACATACCTCAACGAAGTGACCACGGAGCTTTGCGGTGTTAACATTACGGTGACATTCCACGGGAACCCGGTCCCTCCCGATTGGACCAGTTCAGATGGAGGACATGGTCGGTGTTACTGGTATACGGGTGGTACACAAGACAAGCGTTGCGATAAGTTTGCCGATTCAAAGGGCTACTGCTTATTTCAGGATATGGGCTTCTGCGACTTGCACGTGTGCAAATAACCCGTTGTACAGTGACCAATGCAGATGTCCGAAATCTTCGGCATCTGGATGCTGGCTGCCTTGTCAGGCTAGTCAGCCAATTAACCCACCCTATCAAGGGGTGTTTTTTACGCTTCAAATAGGGCCTAAACGGCCTATTTCAATGTGGACGTCCTGGGACGTCCTGGTGATGCGGCTTGCTGCCAAAAATGGACTGTGGGAAAATCTGAGGACGTCCTGATAACTATGTGCCTGCGATGTTGTACATACGGCTATTTACATAAATAGTAGACAGGAAAATGGAAAAGATAAATCAAAATTATCGAAATTAGGGCTGAGGTGGGGGAATGGGCAATGTTTCTCAATGATTTCGAGCATTTATGGAATTATACTTTGCCGTGGTGTTTTCAAAGGGATTTTTAATGCTTATAAAGATTTTTGGGATTTTACGAGCCATTGTAGATAACCATTATCTCTGGTATGTGCAAGCCCCTTTCCCACGCACTATGGGTTGCTTGAGAGGTTGGCATCTCTGTCAAATCTCCACTGATCTGGAAGATTCTCCTCTTTCCATCACTTAAAAGTACATACAAGCTCTGGGTGAGAGGAAATTTATAACTTAATAGCTAGGAAGAACACACATGTTATGTCGCATGTAAGCATATATATTACCACATTCAAGTTCTAACATGTGTTGTCATGAATATTCACCGAACATGGATTGCGTGGGAAAAGGGAAAAGGTCGACATCCAGAGTCTCTCAGGAGTCTTAAAAATATGAAAAAATATTGTGAGTGCCCGTGGAGTATACTTTTCGTATAGTACCAAGTTTGAGAGAAATCAATGGCAGGTTTGTCAATATATTCGCAAATTATGCTGATTGATGGCCACACAATGAATAAAGTTGACGATTTCCACAATGGGTGCACTAAATCTCTCTGCTATAGCCTACTTCGATTTGTTTTGATGACAGCTTTCTAATGATACAAATTATGTGGAAATCGATGAAGAAATGGGGGATATATGGGGGAAATACTGCTGGAGCAGCCTGATATGAAAGAAGGTCGACGCGAAACCAAACCGTCCCCTTTCATGCCTTTTTTTGAGCACCAATAACCTCTCCTCCCCTTCAGCTTTCCAACAAGCTCAATTTTATTCAAATTGGCCCAGTGGTTCTTGACAGGTGCTGTCAAGTTGTCAGGGCTCGGTCCTCGATCAGGGACAGCCCGACCTCAGGCCTAGGTGTGTGTGGTGTTCCGGGTGGTTGGGCGCTAGACCCTGTCCTCAGCTCCTCAAACTCACTGAAGGGACTAAGCGGGGATTGAGTTGTCATGTATTACAGAGGGTAACTACAACTTGCCTAAGCAGGGATTGAGTTGAGAAGAAGGGTAAGTTTCCCTATTCCCCGCTTGGCTACTATAAAAGGGAAGTGTACGTACAGTTCATAACGTGACTCCAGGTAGAAGCCGAGCATGTTCCCGCGACTCGGAAAAGGTGTCACATGGGTTAAGGCAAGTTGCTTGCCTTGACCCACGTGATTTTTCCTGCGGGCTCACATGCGGGCTGAAGTTGTGAGAGATATGTAGGGATGGGGAGGTCAGGGAAGTGGGGGAAGTCTGGGAAGGTGGTTCTGGGGTGTGGTTGGGTGCCCTGACAGCGGGGTCAGGGGCCGATCCCTGACACAAGTCCACGTGAGATTCAGCATGGTGTTGAATGGACCACATGCAAGAATCTCTACTAATATTGGTCCATTCAGCACAAAAATTTTCGTGATAGGAGAAATAATCCTGCTCTATCGATTGAGCATAAGAAGGTTTGTTTTAAAGGCATAGTTGTGGAGATCATGGGGTAAGAAGTTGAAAGTTATGTTATGCATGGGGATCCTGCTTGGGAACTGAAAATGGTTTCGGAAAAATAGAAAAAAATTGGAAAGAGCGAGTAATGTGGGTGGGAAATGGATGCGAAAATGGTGGAAAGACTAGGCCTGTGTGCTTTGTAGGCTACAGCATAAAATCCATAAAAATAGTTATTTTGTTGTGCATGAACTTTTCCCTGTAGAAACAAACAGAGATAATATCCCATGGTAGCTTCAAGAACATTTCAATTGGCTTTAAGAAATGGAAAACACTAATACAAAAGACAGAACAATAAGCAAGTGGCCTGGAAACCCAAAATTATGTTGGAAGCCTCAACTGCTCCCCATAACTGTGCTAACCTTACACCATTCAACTATACTAAACCTTAGCTTTCCAACTCAGCTGGTCTCATTCAAAATGGTGGAAAAATGAGCAAGATAGTATGGGAGGATGTAAGGGATGGACAGGGATGGGATGTTGCACTGTAAGGAGTGATGTTCCTTGAGGCCGACCATCTTTATTCCCTTGCTATAAATAATGTACAACAATGTAATTACATATTTATATAACGGAGTGTGAGATGAATGGAGTTTAACTCCTTTCCTCCACACCTGTCAAAATATAGCTCTATACAGCTTATCTCTTTGACAGACTTGAGGAACTAGGAGATACAAGGTCGGCACCTACACTGACCTTACATGTGCACTTTGCATGCATTTCCTCTATTCTTTATTCCTTAATATTCTTTGTAATAAACAATGTAAAACAACTGTATATACATATATAGTGTCCGGGGTTGGGAAAAGGGGCTCTGCTCTTCTCCTCCCCCCCTGTCGAATACTAGCTCCATACAGTCTATGTTATCGAGGATTGAGGAGTGTCAGGGCACACCCGCCTGACCCGGTTCCACCTGGGCCCACCCGGGCCCACCTCACCCACTCACCCGCTCCCCGCTACCCATCCTTCCTCCTCCCTCCTTCCTCCCTCTTCCCCTTCCTCCCTTTCCTCCCTTTTCCTCTTTTCTCTTTCTCCTTTATTTCATTCTCCCTTTCTGTTTATTCTTTCTATTTACACAGACCACCTTCCCTTGTATCATTGTACTGTTGACCCATCCGGCTCGGACACCCCGGACGACTTCCCGCTATGCCTAGCATGCGCACCTGCAGCGGATGCCCTCAGGATCCCCCGCGGGGATACCCGGATGGCTGCAGCTCTCTCTGTAGATGACGTGGCACCCGTCATGTGACCCAAGCCGCATGTACATAAATGTACCTGAAGTGGGAACTGAAGAAGTAACCTTCTTCTCACGTTTTCCACTTCAGGTAAGTAGTGTAGTTCTTCCTTTTAATAACAATTCACATTTTCCACTTCAGTCTAAGTGGCCAGGGACTACAGTCCCAGATCGGGCCCGTCAGTACGCACACCCGCTTCGTCCCCCAAGAGGGTCCCTCTGCCGGGCGCTACAGCCGGGCCCCCTCCACCCTGGATGCGTCCCTGACAAGGAGTCACCAAGGCTGGCACCCCAACTGGCCTTACAGAGGAGCGGTGAAGGAGAGAACGAAGGAAGGTCAGTTGGGAGGTTCAAACGAGACCACCACCAAGCTGTTCCCTGGTTCTTTAGTTAGGATGGGGAAGTGTACTAGTATTATTTGTTGTAAATATAGTACCAATCCGAGTGTTTTGGCTAATTCTATTTTTATGGGTTAGTCTAAAGTTTCTGGGAATTGACTTACAGATAAACCGAGCCCTGCGGAGCTGTTCCTTTTATTGAATTTTCTTAATTTGTCTAGGTGTAATTCTGTGTAGTGTTGTTTAATTTGGAATTTAACTTGAATTAAATCTTCTACTTGGTGAAGTTTCAAATATTCTACTCAGTTAATGGATTTGGATTGTGTCTGGAGTGTCCCTTGAGTTTGTTTTATTTTTGTCTTATTTTATTGCTTGTTTTAACAGTAGCAAAATAACTGTTTTGTGTTTACACTTTGAAATCTGGAGTGTTAACCAGCTTTCCTGTTGAAATATCTACTTAATATTTCTCTCCTTAATTGCTGCCTTTTACTACAGTGGCAATCTTAACTGTATATCACTTTTTCGCACTGGAGTGACAACCAGAAATGCTTGAGAAAAATAATACTCTATTTTCTTACTTCTCTGAGGGGGGCGAAAAGTCACAGAAAGGGTCTCCCTTTTATACTCCTTGGGTCGCCTTCCTTTTTCATGCTCTACCTCCTATTTACAGGATTTATTTACAGTGTATTTTTCTCAAACTGAATAAAAAATGAAATTTTCATGCTATAGTTCTACTGCACTTTACTGCGCTGAACTGTGGTCAGACTGCACCTAGAATCCTTATTGTCCTTCCTCGCCTAAGCTATTTTAATGGTTAATTAAAACTTGACTGCGCTGCATTTGTCGCAGTTTCCTATTTCAAATTCCTCATATTTACCACTAAATTTGCTATGACTTGGTGATTCTGAATTCAAACTTCGCACTACTATGCGTGTGGCTGTGCTGAGACCTTCAGCTGATTTATTCCATTTTTATTCAGCGACATTTAGTTAAAATGAGACTTGAAATGGTAAATGAGTGAATTGTTCAGGTTTAAAACTGAAAGAAAAAGTTGCTAGTAATCAAGAATTACTCAAACGAATGTATTATAGCTCTCCACTTCATTAGAATATCGTTCCCTAAAATTCCCGCCATGGTCCGTCGTAGTTTAGTGGTTTTTGTGGATTTCGTTCATCTTCCCTGATTCCCCCTTGTATTATCACATCCTAATCCTCCATATGTATTGTTTGTTGTTATAGTAGGTCGTCCTCGAAGATATCATATTTTTATGTATTTTATTTAGGGCTCTGGA